GAACAGGAAATGTGTACAAACTCGCAGTTAAAAAATTACTCAGTGGTGGGGATGAAAAGTACAGCACAGGGAATTTAGTCAATTACATTGTAATAACTTTGTATGGTGAGAGATGGTAACTACACTTATGGTGAACATTTTGTAATGTATATAATTGTTAAATCACTATGTTGTACACCTGAAACCAATAAATTGTATGTCACTCATACTTCAGTATTTAAAAGAGTAAGAAATGTGTATTTGCAGCCATTTCCTACAAATACCAAATTACTCAAAAGTGTACATGGACAGAAAAAAAAAGTAGAGAACGCTCATGATTTGGGGTTATATATTTCATTTTTTGAAAAGTTTCCTTACTCTACCATTCCTCTAAATGTTTTAATTCTAATTACCAGACACTGTCTTTATGCCATCACTTTTACATTCTTTCATGAACTTGTACTTTAGTGTTTATCTACTTGCATGAAATGCTAATATTCAAAAACAATGAAAAAATATTGTATTGGAAATAAAATATCGGTGTAATCAAAGGGGTTACTTGCATGAAAATATTCCACCCAGTCCTGGTCCCTTTTTGAAGGGCCCTTGGATGGTTTGCAAGCCACGGGCATTAACAAGTTGTCTGTCTACAACGGTTACACCTAATTTGAATTAAACTACAGTCTAAGATGACAGAAGTGCTCCTTTCATCTTTTGTAGGAAGGTCACCCAGCGCCACGCTCCTTCTGGAACTAAACACATCGGCCCCGCCGTCTGTTGAGTCCTCTCCCCTTCACAACTCACACCTGGGTGGCCAAGGGTCAAGTCTGACCTCCCGACGGCGCCAGCGCCTCTGCCCCCTTCCTGTTGGGGAAGCAGCAGATGGCGAGGGCGCGCGGCGCTGGTGCCGCAGCGGGGCAGGGCCACAGGCACCGGCCCCGGGTCGGCGCCCGGACCGCCCTCGGCCTCCTGCTGGGCGCCGCGGGGGGGGCCCCCCTCCCGGCCCTGTACCCCTAAGCGCAGCGAGACAGTCACACTTCGGCCCCAGCCCAGGCCCCGGAAACTCCTGTTCGCAGGGCCACCGAAGCTGTGAGCCGCAAGAGCGCGACACGCGCTGGTTAACGACACCGCACCCCGTAAAGCCACGGCCCCGCCACCGGGCCAGGGGTTCCCCGCCGGCGTCGCCTATCCAGGCCTTCGCGCGCGGCCAACCCGCCACCAATGGCAACCCCGGCTCCGAGAGATGAACCAATGGGAGCGCGCTGGCTAAAGAGGCGCAGCCAATTCCCGCCCTCTGGCCCTGGAACGCCAACACCGGCGCCACCACCGCACCTGGCAGTTCTAACTCGCAGCCCTGCCGCCACTCACCTCCATCCCTCGGAGTCTAGACAGTAAATAAACTTTCCCAGGAGTAGAACCTTGAGGAGCTGTGGCTCGAGCAGTGTGCGCTCTCAGCTCTGCTCAGAAGCTGCGTGCGCGCTCACCTCGGCTGAATTCTTCTGCCTAAATTTACCACTCAGCGCGCACACAGCATTTCGGAATTTAGTGGAAACTGAGTATTCTTCCAGTTCACTTAACTGCTATCAACCGTTTGCACCGGTGTCTGAGCTTAAAATGAGAAGATGGCTTTATAATGTGTCTGAAGAAGTTTCTCTTAGCCAAAATATGAAAGGCCTTTATTTACTGAAGTTGGCACGAGTTTGTCCGGGGCTTCTTAGAAGTGAACCGAGGGGAGACCAAAAGCCCTGCAAAAAAGATGTTGATGCTTATAAAAGGGCGTCAGCCTTTACCTCATTTTTCGAAATGAAACCACGAAGAGTTGCTAGAGTTAGTTGACTATTGTTTGCGGGCTTACTATGCCTCAGGCTTGATTCTAAGCGGTTTGCTTCCATTATTAACTCTTAGTCTTCAGAGCTACCCTATTGCTTATTTCAACCTGTTTTACAGATGGGGAAATTGAGGCAATAAAGAGACTGGTGCAAGATGTCAAGTAAGTGATGGAGGCAAACGTAGAATCTGTGTCTGTATGATTATTTAGGTTAGTAAAATATTTTAATGTCCAAATTAAGTAGGCCCAAACAATCTAGAGTCTTTCACTTCTGAAAAGCATGATTCCTATCTCTCTTTTTTTTTAATTCTTTGGTACAAAATATTCAGTAAAAATCTCAGAAACTTCCAGGGGCTTTAGGTAACCCTCAAAGTTATGGTCATCAGGTTGGAAAGGATTGAGGGCTGCACCGTGGGAGTGAAGAGATAAGGGATAAGGAGACCGAAAGAAGTAATCTGAGAAATGCTTTCAACTGAGCCATTTTAAGTAATATTTTTGTTACTGATTGCATATTTCTGATTTGACTTCACCATTAAAATAAATACTTGCATTCATTATGTATGATAGTGTGCAGTCCCTGGTCAAATATACAGCTTATCTGAGGCAGCCTATGCACAATTACAAATAACCTTCCCTTAAAAGCCTGTAAAGTCTCTGTTCAATTTTCATTTTTATGTTGAAACTTATTCTAATAACATAGGAGATATCAATTTACAAAGGAGGAAACAAAGCTAGGGGGTTGTTTTATTAAATCTTAATGAATTCTAAATGTATTTCTTTCAGCCAAACTATTTTTAACTTATTTCTTGAAAGGTCATTTTCACACAAAATAACAAAAAATTATAGGACTTGGTACTGAACTAGGAAATGGAGAAGAAAGTGTGACTTTTATAGCTGATAAAACTTTTCCTCTGTTTCAAATCTGGGCAGCCTTTCTCCCTTTCCTTGAGGACTGTCCCATGATCTGATTTCAGAAACGTTTTCAAATATTTCTCTATAAAGGTAGATTTAGTTTCAAGCAATAATCGCCTGACAGGGCAAGACCATGACACTAAGCAGACGGTGAGAAGCTGTGGGCCCTGGAGCCCAGGATGAACAGGCAGATGCTTGGGTTCACTTCCAGTTCTGTGTGGCAGGGCTCTCCCTGAACCTGGTGAGATAAGTCCCCAGTCACACCCTGTGGAGACGAAAGGATTGTAAATAGCATCAGGATCTGCAAAGAGGAGGTCCCCAATAAATAGGATCATTGTCACATGTGCGTGTTAATCCACAAATATTTCTTGTTTCTCTTTGGATGTTCTTTTACAAAGCAAAACATTCTCTGGCCAGCTGACACTAAAAAACCTATAATTACAAGCGTAAGTTTTCTCATAGAAGAAATATTTTTGCTGATCACCACCCATAGAAGTCAAATGCCTCCCCCACCCATGCCTCCTGCTGTGATGGGTCAGAAAAAGTCCCTGCCAGCCAGCTGGTGACTGTGGCCCAGCAGGGTAGAGACTGCTGCAGTGCTCAGGATTAAGAAAATAATGGGCATTTTTAACTGAGTCAAATCATCCAGGTCATATCCAGACCTTTGGTGGCCTACTAGAATCTTCCTACCAACCCCTGGAAGAGCACTGGAGACCTGAGCTCTTAGGGTACCTGCCCTTAGCTGAGGGGATGACTAACCCTCCACTTCCTACATAACTGCACTGAGACCCTCCCCAGAGTATAAGTCTGTGTGTGGGTGGGAGGAGGGATGCTTTCCAATTTAGCCCACAAAATTATATTATTTGATATCCACTAGCTCACATTATTTTTTTATACCCATAAAACCACTACTTCTAACCTTGCCTATGGGCCTCCCAGTGACCTTGAAGAGTATTTTTTCTGTAAAATGGGATCCATACCCACAGCATATGGTTGGAAGGACTACATAGAAAAAAGAAACCTACGTAGAACAAATTGATCAGCAGTTCCAATAACATAGATCCTCCTTTAGTATTAGTTGACTGAATATTAAAGTGAGTAAATCAGAAAGTGTACTGAGCAAGTTTTCTCTTTTTTGCTCCTCAAGGTTAGTGCCATCAAAAAAAATGCTACATAACAAGAAATAGTGATTATACATTTCCGTAATTTTTTTGCCATAATTACTTTTGATGAGGATTACTTTTCTTGAAGGTCATTTAGCTGCTTTCTGTGAACAGGAAAACACTTAGCATGTTAACAATGGTTTCAGAAAACGATTGCTTTGCCCGTTATCTAGGAGCCTGTGAAATGCCCATACTGAAAATGGTATATTTCTCTGTTACAACACTACTTAACACTTACTTTATGAATAAGCAAATGTCCTATGGTTTATTTTATTATGGAGCCTCCTCAAAAATCATTTTCAAGTTAAACTATTTAAAAGATCTGCTGAAATCGCTAAGTGAACAAACTCACTTTTGTATCTTTATTCAAGATTGCACAAACTGGAAACGAAGACGAAAATACTGAAGCCACTGTACATCGTTCATTATAAGACAACATATATCACATTTGTATTCTACCAAATAGGACATTGTCCTTAAAATTATGTATCGCGTGCTCTTAGATTCATGCTTTAGATATTTTACATGTCATTATTCTCTTATAAATAATTGCAACCTGACCAATTTGCACACCTGCTACCACTGGAAATTCAATGAGCCAAGGTATAGTCTTTGACCGGAAAACAGATGAAATGGAAACAAGTGTCATGATGTGACACCTACCGAATTGTGACTACTGTTTTGCCTATGCAGTGAAATGCTAATGTAAAATACACACACAAAACATGTTTCAAAAGGCACGATCTCCTCCACAGAAAAGAACAATTTCAAAATTACGTGGCTGTTAAAATCGGCGCCCTCGAGGACGCTGTGATGTTCGCATTAAAGTGATTCTGAACCTCCAGAGCAGACCGCCTAGGCGGTTGGGGGCGGTGTGGGGCAGCGTGTCCGCCTGTCCAGAAGCCCGGAGCGCGCAGGACCCGCCGCCCCCCGGCGGCCCAGAGGCCTCTCAGCTTTCCACCTGACTTTCAGCATCGGACCTGGGAACTCCCACTGTGCTCAATCTGGCGCGCGACCAGACTAAAAACGGTTTTGCCAGCAGCTCGTCCTCTCCCAGAACAGAACCCCTGCTGCTCTCCGTTGACCGCCCCGCCACACACCCCTGCCCCGAAAGCTCGTTAGGAGTCGCGCCCGGCGCCGCCCCCGGCCTCGGGGTCACTTTGGTCGTCCGTGAAGCAGACATCCACGTCACTGTCGTTGTCGCTCTTGGGCTCCCCGGGCTCCGGGGGGTAGTCCGGCCCCGCGCCCGGGCCGTCGCCAGCCTTGGCGAGCATGCTCTGGCCGGGGTGGCGGGACTTGATGTGGCGCTCCAGGTCCCGCCGGCGCACCAGCACCTTGCCGCAGAACTCGCAGCGGTAGGGCGTGTTGCCCTCCGCGTGCAGCCGGATGTGCTTGTTGAGGTTACTGGGGTCGCCGAAGGGCCGCAGGCACACTTTGCACTTGAGCGGCTTGTAGCCCGTGTGCGTCCGCATGTGGATCTTGAGCCCGTACTTGCGCGAGTACAGCTTGCCGCAGTAGAGGCACAGGTGGCCCGTCTTGGGCTTCCCCGCGCCACCGCCCCCGCTGCCTCCACCCCCAGCACCGCCAGCCGCCACGACGGCCGGTGGCAGCGTCCCGGCGTCCAAGCGGCCGCGGCCCTTCCCGGCCGCCATCTCGGACAGCTGCTGCGTGTGCATGGCGATCTCTCGGTCGATGCTGGCCAGGGAGCCCAGCTCGGCGGGGCTTAGAGCGGCCGCCGCCGCCGCCGCCGCCGCCGCGGCGGGCCCGCCGAAGTAGGAGAGGGACTCCGGGTACTTGAGCAGCCCGCCGAAGTGCAGTTTGAGCGGGTAGTAAGCGGCGGCGGCCGGGGAGCCGTAGAGCAGCTCCCCGTTGTAGACGGTGAAGGCGGGCAGCACGGCGGGCAGGGGGCCGCACTCGCCACCCGGGTAGGCTTTGAGTCCGCCCGCGTCGAGGCCCGGCAGCGCGCAGCGCTCGAAGGGCAGCCCGGCCGCCGGGGGCAGCTGTGCGAAACGCGCCCCCGGCAGCGCGGCGGCGGCGGGCTGGGCGCGCTCCACGTGCTTGAAAGCCGACGCCTCCTCCGGGGCTCCGGGGAGCAGAGGGAAGCCGCGCAGGGGCCCCGAACAGGGTAGGCCGGGCGGCGGCGGCGGCTCCGCCGCGAGCAGGCACTTGGAGTGGTGGTGGTGGTGGTGCGCGTGGTGGTGGTGGTGGTGGCCCGCGCCGCCTGCCACCGCGTTCTCCCCGCCTCCGGGGCGCCCGCCCGCCCGGCTCCCGCCCAGCAGCCTGCCGAGGGCCAGCCCGGCCCCCGGCTTGCTGCCACCCTCCTCCCGGAAGGGGTCGCCGTGCGCGGCCGAGAGCCCCCGGGCAGAGCCGGCGGGCTTGAAGGCCGAGCGCACTCCGGGATAGAAGGCTAGGCCGCCGCCCCCCGCTGGGGAGCCGCCCACGATGCCCAGGAAGTGGCCGTGTCCCCGGGCGGCCCCGTTCGAGTCCGGGGCGCGCTCGGGCTGCTCCTTGCCCTTCTTGGACGGCCCCCACTTGGCCGGGGGCGGCGAGGTGGCCGAGGGCGCGGAGGAGGCCTCGCGCTTGATGCCCTCCCGCGCTCCGCAGGCCTGCAGGGGCGGCGGGGCCTGCGGGTGGGGCCGCAGAGTAGCCGCCGCGGCGAAGTCGGGCGCCGGGGGTTTCGGAGAGAAGCGAAGGCCATCGGCTGCGGGGGCAGCGCTTTGGCGAGCCGCGTGCTCGTGGTGCAGGTAGGTGCGGGCCCCGCCGCTGCTGAGCACGCAGTGGAAACGTAGGTGCGCCTTAAGGCTGTTGGGGTATCTAAACGTCCTCCAGCAGTACCAGCAAATGTAGCGCTCCTCTCCTGGGCAAGAAAGAGTGGAAAAGGGACCCGGTGAGGCGCGTGCAGGAGGGACAGAAAGCGCGCGCCAGCGCACCCAAGGCAAGGCCCAGATTTCGACCGGCGGTATGGGGAGCAGGGTAACGGGGAACAAGTGAGTTCGGCAGCCCCACTGTAGCAAGGACCCTGAAAAGCCCCAAATGGCCAACTTTGTCACCATCTCCATCCTCTGGAATTACTCAGAGACGAAGAAGGGTAACCTGGGCCTTCCCAGTGAGGACTTTCTCCGGCTCATCTGAGCAAATCTTCGTTGGGAGGGCAGAGCTCTGGCAGGCTGGCCGGAGAAGAGATGAGAGCAGAGAGCAGCTGTTGCTTTAAATCAAGTGTTGAGGCTGTGCTGTGCCCGGGCCCATCTGTTGGCGTTTGCAGAATAGGTGGCGTATGTCAAGGAGTTTGGAGAAACAACAAAGACCAATCTAATAGTCATGAGCGCCTCATTACCAGGGGAGACAATATCTTGTATGTATGGGCCATATGTAATCATTCCTTTCCCTAGAACAATGTCTTTTATGTCCACTACCCACCCTGCCAACCCCCTCCCAGCCTTTAAACACTTTGCCTGAGGTTTTCCTGGAGCGTGACCAACTGAAGGACCACATAGGGACTATGCTTTGCTATTCTTCAAAATTATTTGTATCTTTATTTCCTCTTAACCCCATTTAATTTGATGGAAGAAAGAAGAAGTTCTGATATTCTAAAACCTGAAACATGATGTTGCATTATCTTGTCAGTTATTCCACCTGGTAATTAACTCCTGGATAGCTACACAAATCCAAGCTTAGCAAAATCCTTGGAAAAGATACATAGTTTACTTTTATTACATGAATATGTGTGTGATATATAGATACTCAGCTTTTAATAAGTGCACAAGTTTCTACCAGGAACTGTATACATGTTTTTGGTGTCAAATCTTTTTTTCCATATAATATTAACATTAGTTACTTTTATTTTGCCAGGTTCTGTGAATACAGTCAAGAGATGTATGAAACAGATTCATCACATGGTAGAAGTTAATTTTCACTCAAAAAGGTCATGTTACATCTGTGCAGAAAACAGTGGTCTTAGAATTGGGTTTCTTTTTTTAATGCTGTGGTTTGTTGATAATACTGAAGGGAAGTGTGTCTGTGAGAAGTTAGTTGAGCCACAAGGAAGTATTCAAACATGTGTCAGTCTCATTAAAAAGAATGGAAAGTTTAAATCTCCCCCTCTTGCACACAAGCAGCTTGAACTTCTAAAACATTACTACAGAAACAACAGTGGGGAAAAAATTTCAGATACTCCCCCTTTCTTGTATTTTACCTCTAGCTTAGCATAAGGAAAGTAGTATCCCAGAAAACTAAGATGAAAGTTTCTTTAAGGAGCAGTTTATTCCAACCGAAGCCAAAGAACAGAAAGAAAAAAAAAAGTGGAAGATGATGATTTTCGAGAGACCCCATCCTAATTGTTTATGAAAGATTTAAATGAAATCATATTAATATTTCTGTTGTATTGAATAGCCATGTAAAATAAATATTGAAAAGGAGAGGCTTCCTGGATTCTCCTGTCAGGCATATTGATTTAATATCTTAAATAGCCTTCCTTCTCTTAAGTTCAGAACCCCCCTTTCATCGTTCCTTTCTAGAGAGGGAATTTTCAGAGGCTGTCCCAGAAAGTCTCAGCTCAGTGCAGAGCCAAGTTAGCTCTGTTCCTAAAACAAAGGGTCAGTATTTTCCTTAATATTACTGTGGAATTGAAACCCACTGGTGTTAGTATTGGAAGGATAACAAGCCATTCCTACTTATTTCTTCCTCTTTTCAAGATTTAAGTAAATGTATGTTTTCTTTTTCAATATGTTCCTTTTTCAGTTTCTTCCAACCAACTGACATATTTCTCAGGACTCTGAAATTCAACCTATGCCAAAAGTATCAGACACACTTCATAAGTGACTTTGCCTCCTCTCAGGTTGCCAAGATGTCAAGTATCTCAAAGCTGGGAAGTCAGGGTTCAAAATGCCCATATAACTTGCTTAGTTTAAAAAAAAGATGCCCATATATTCCCCAAAAAGAAAATGGTATCTGTTTTAACATCTGTTGCCATATGATGTTTATAAGCTCCATTGGCTGAAATGTAAACACGAGGACTCCACTCAAACAAGCTGCTTTTGTACTGTTTGAGAGTGCCTGTTGGAAGGGTGTTCTGTGCAAAAATGCCTGGCCACCAAAGGCCAGTAGCGCTCTGAATTGTTTTGTGGTGATAGATTTGAGAATTCTCCACTACGGGGTCTTTGTCATGTTTCACTTGTACTGGAAGTTGACAAGAATTTAATGTCTTGTGATACAAGGAACAAATTGCTTCAAGATCACTTTTGTGGCTACTGTGCATACAAATCTACCGATAAGACAGTGATACTTTGAAATGCACTGATTCATCGTTCTGAATAAACTACATTCTGTCTTATGCATGAGTACTGCTTAACTACCACATTTATACTGATTTCCTTAGCCCTATTTCCAAAGGGGTGGGATTGAGCAGACCATTCAGGAGGAGAGCATGTTAAAATAGTTTACAGAATTCATTATGCTGACTTTAAATGTAACTGTGTCTTTAAGAGAAATTACACACGAAAATAGCAAGGAAAAAAAGCAAGTCATGGAAGTTTTGTGCATTAAAAGGGAGTCTCCAGATCTTAACAATTTTAGCACCTTCCAGCTTTTTTCTACAGGAAATGTTCTTCAGTGTTCTGAAGAAGGTCTGAAAATGTTTTTCTCTTTAGTTACTGCCCTTTAATTTGCATAAATCTGCTCTTGGCTTTGGAAGGGACCGAATAAATCTGAGAAGAAACTGGGATACATCCCAGATTCAATCTAAGTAGGGAGGGAGAAATGAATAAATACCATTTAAATGGAAAGGACTTAGTACCTGCCAACTGACCAGCTGTAAGTACCGCAATGCTTCTAAAATGCTGTGGAAATATATTACTGTCCTCCCAGCCAGTGGAGAGGAGATGCCCCCCGAACTGCTAAAAACATTCCAGGTTTGAGACAGGCTTTCTCCGAGTTCATGGTGTGATTACTCTAAAATGTGAAGACTTTATTGATTCTTAATTGAGTAACTGTCTCTTTGCATATGCAGTAGGAAAGGATGATCACCATGAACTCCATAAGGATTCCCTGCCATCCTGAGCCAGATTATTATTGTCGCTGTTACCATTTACTGTTGATTTTAAGGAGGTAATTTTTACGTCACCTCTCTGCCTAAACAGACATGGAGCATGCATTCAGTTTCACACGGCGCAATAGTAAGGCCCTTCAAGTCTGGGGATAAACCCAAAGACTGGGAACAGGCTGGACTCTCGACCACCCGTGTGGCCCAGAGCCCCGCTTGGAGACATACCTTTCTCATCGTGCGTCGGAGTTGCAATCGTGGGAATGTCAAACCACTGAGCCAAGGAGTTGGAATACCACACAGTCAGCTCCTCCCCTGGCTGGACATCTCGAAGTGCTCGGTAGAAGATCTGGGACGCAAGGAACAGGACAGCTTGCTGTCATTTCCTGGGTGGTGGGTCAAAAAACAACTGAGAGGAAAGGTTCGAATCCCTGCTCTGATGCTGTGTGACCCTGGAAGAGCTATTGGACCTCTCTGAATCTCACTTCCCTCATTTGTCAAATGGGGGAAATAATAGTATCTACCTTAGAGGGTTGCTGGGATGGTTAAATGAGACTTGGAACCAAAAAGCTTTGTTCTTAGTATTGGTGGCCACGTCAGTGACACTTAATAGATAGAATTGGGGGTGGGGGGTGCCCACAATACCTGTCCTCCGGGTAAGTCTGCAATAGCTTCCAGAGTCTGTTCCTGGGGGTTCCTGGCTGCCCGGATTAACCCTATCCATTCCAGAGGGGAGCCCCCCGACTCGTCCACCAGCTCCCCTCTCACCAAGCGCACCTGCAACACAAGCAGTGGTCGTTCCCCCCCCATGCCGCAGGCGAGGCCCAAACCCAGAGAGAGAAAGTTAACCCTCCACCTCACGCGACTCAGGAAAATGGGGTTGTTCGCTGTGGCCCGACCTCTGTGGGCTGCTGGGAAAAGGGCAATTCCTCAGGACCCTTGCCTGCGGGCGCAGAGAGGTCGGCTAGTGTAATAAACCCCGCTCTCTCCCACTTGGCAGTACGGGGGGTGAGCGCATCCTCCCCGGGCGCCTGGGCGCCTCTTGTACCAGGACGTCCCTCGCCCCCACGCCACGTCTCCCCTTGCAGTCCTGAGAGTAGCCTGAATACCAATGTACAGACGTTTCGAGGTCGGTCCCAGAACTCAGGACGTCCCCCACCCCATCTCCAGCCTCCCCATTCTTGCTGCACCACATGGATGTGCTGAGGTGCCAGCGAGCCCCGCAGCTGAAGTGTCTGGACAAAGCGGGCTCAGCTAGCCGGCTATTTAAAAGCAATTAAAGCGCTTTTGGTACGCCGCAAACCGGCTTTAGACCGCGGGGATAGAGGATGGTTCACAAGAAGCCAAGTACACGGCTGGGCACCGAGCAATTCCTTACAAGAAAGCTCTAGGCGGCGGCTGGCAAAACTCAGGTCCTCTCCCCGCTCCACCCTCACCCGGAGCCCTGCCTTCGTTTCCCGGTCCCTGCCCACCTGTGCCCGCTAGGACGCCTCAACACCGGCAGGCGTGTCTCAAACCCCTCTCCGCTGTTTGGGGAGTCAGAGCTGGTGGGTGGGTCCTGACGCCTCTCAGCTGCGCCTCGGACTCCTGCTGGCGCCCGGACCTGTGCCCCAGGCGGGTGGGCGCTCCGCGTCCTGGGAACCCGCATCAGAGCCACCACCTGGCTCACCCTCTCTCTCCCTTCACCCCAAACCCACAAGCGGACATCGCAGAAGGAAAAATCGGGAGAGGCTGGTTGTAGGAAGTGAGCGTTTCCCAAGGATTATTTTTTCGGAGATGAGACTAAATTATTTAAGGTAAAGAAAGTTACGCCTTAAATTACCATATTGAAGGGAAAAAGGTAAGACAAGTCCTCAACACCCTGCGCGTTGTACACCAAAAAATAAAGGCGCGTTTGCTGAGAGAGGATGGTCCCTCGGCGCATCTGCAGCGGACCCCCTAGAGCTCCAGGGACACCGCGGGTTCCGGTGGTCCCGGCATTAAAGAGCCCGGTGCACCCCACCGGGGGCTGTCCCCTCTCAGCTGCCCGTCCTTGCGCCTTATCCCGGCCCACGTCCAGCTCTCAGTTAATGCGACTTGAGGGGAATGATCGGAGTCCCCTTCCACCTGGCAGGATTGACAGGTAACGACTCAGTCACCCCTTTTCTCCACTTGGCCCATCTACCCCTTTCCTGGGCCAGAGGACAGGGAGGCGAACGGCGGGGGGCGGAGGTCGGAAAAGCTAATACCTTTTTCTTGGGCCCGGGTTCCCTGCGGTCTGACAAGTACTTGCCCAGCTTGAAGGTTCCGGGCACGGGCCCGAGGCGCAAGCCGGCGGGGATGCAGCAATCGGCGCTCACGCTGGTGGCCGAGGCGCGGGCGGCCGCGTGCATTGCTGCCGCCGCCGCCAGGCAGATGCTTGGGCGCGCCGGGTCCTTGGCAGGGCGCGAGGGACAGAGCCCAGCCTCGCGCGAGCCAGGGAGCTGCACCCCGACGTGCGTCCTCCGCCCGCGGAGTGACGCGGCGGGGCCTGCACTGCGCCTTTTCAATCGGGGCGGGCGCCTTTTGGCACCGCGAGCGCAAGGGCGCGGAGTTTGGTGAGAGAGTTGCTCTGCGGAGCAGCTGCAGAGTCCCACCCGAGAGGGTCACATGGAGTGGTTCCCTCAGCCCTCTGCATAATCGAGGCCTCTGAATGGCTGGCGCACAATGGTCCAGGCGACCTTCCCATTCCTAAAAATCCAATTTGTCAAGGGCGAAGAAAAGGCGCTGGTGAATCAAAGGTCCGGCGGGACCATTAATCCTCAGCATGGGGTATTGTCCCCGAGACAGTTACGATATTTTAAGTGACAAATCCACTGTATAATTTCTCCATAAATTTTACTTCCTTTTATTGTTCGCCGACAAACCAGTTTTGGGAAATAAGTGACTACTTTAAGTCTACTTGGCTGATTCCTTTGAGCCTTGGTCTACTTCAAAGATTTTTAATTCTCTCCCCTTGGCTTTATTGTAAAGGAAATTAAACAAAGAGATGGGGACTGTTTGGAGGACTTGTTAACTTCTATTGATTTCTGGCGTGTGCCATACAGAAATTAGGCAGGTACTTGATGGGAAAACACCAGAAAATACCTACACTTTTTAAATAACGACCATATTACCATTTCAGGGGATTGGGTTCCGGCCAGTCATCTATTTAGAACCACTTTATCGCTCCCTCTGTCCAGTTTCGCCCCGAAATACGAAGCCTCTGGACCAGTTTTGGGAAACGAGGTCAGCTGTGCACCGTTGCTCTCGGATGCACCCCAGACCAGCACTTTCTCTGGAGAATGGGGAGGTGGGGGACGGCCGCAAGATCGCGGCTCTGCCAGGGTTCCGGCACCCTGACCGCACCCGAGGATGGAAGAGGGGCTCTGCGGGCTGAGTTTTTCTCTCGGCTCTCCCACGTGCCAAATAACCGACTCATGCCCTGATTTGCTTTTAAGTTTAAGACGGGCTAAGAAGTCCTTGTGGCTAACTTTTCCAGAGCCAACAAACCCAGTTTTTCTTTAAAAAAAAAAAAAAAAAGTTACTCTATCAAAGGCTGGGAAAAGAGGGTGAGGCTGGCGTTGGCAACCCCTGTCTTTACCTCAGTTCGTGAACTAGGAGGAACGCGTACTTCTCAGTTAAACCAGGCTGCTCCTCGTTTTCTTTTAATGGGAGCCTCCGATTTGTGTGGGGACATTCATTTTCATAAGACCCCTGAGGAATCGAGTTCACCCGATATTTGTGACAGTTCTGCCTGCTCCTGCCACGCACGGCTCCTCCCAGCGCTGCTCCCCAAGTCCTTCGCACCAGGACTCGAGCCGCCGCGGTGTTCCGGGAGAGGCCTGAGCGACTCGGGGCTTCAGGCCTGGTGATGGAGGCCCAGCTGTACAAATGGGCGGAGACTCCCAGCAGCGCCACCAGAATCCTCCACCCGGCTCTGCCCTAGGAAAGTGCGGTTCCCAGGCCACTGGCGGAAGTGACTCCCAGTAACAACGGCGGCAGGACGCAAGGTGGCGACACCTGTAAGTCAGCAGTTTGTCCGACAGGGCCTTCAACGAGGCTACCTGGAGCATCCTTCAGCAGACCTGCATTCGCCATCCCGGACACGACCAGAAGACTCCGGGTCATTCGTTCTACGCTGTGTCACGCACGACTCGAGGAACGTTCGGTAAATTACTTCAGGGTCTCCTAATTCGTAAAAATGGATATGACAATGCAAACGGGCCCTTGGCTTCTTCCACTCGGGTTTGCTGCACTTGCAATGATCTGCAGAGTGGATGCGTTTTGAGCGCTGCAGAACTCGTGGTTTGCATAATGGATGAATCCAGGCCAGGTCAAGGGTCTCAAGTCTAAGTGTCTCAAGTAGGTTCGTGTGGTCACACGCTGCCGGCCGGCCTCGGTGCTGACTCCCAGGTGCGTGCAGGAGAGGACGGCCGCCGCAGACCGTCGCCCCTCCGACCGGCAGCCAAGCCAGGCCCAGGGCCACTTCCGGAGGGCACTGCCACTGACTTTTCCTCCTAACCCTCCAGTTGCCCCTCTGCAGGCCGCGAAGGCTGCCGAGACGGAGAGGAGGGAGCCTTTGATGCGGCGGCCCATGAATGGCAAAAGCCGGGGGAGGGGAGGAGAGGAAGCCTCTGCGGAGAGTCGAGGGCAATAAATTTAAGCCATGAACATGTCCCTCTAACCTCTGGCCTGGCGACTCCGTCATGACACCCAGTTTAAATTACCAGCACTGCGAGCGGGAAGGGGCGAGCGCGGGGCCTGGGTTTGGGGCTCCTCCCCCGGCCCTCCTTAATGAGTGAAAAAGCGTGAACGACACGCGAACAATTTTATCAATAGAACCATGTAAAGGCCGACTGTGAGGAAAGTTATTTATTAATATAGCCAATTGTGGCTGGTTCCCAGCCCCGCGAGAAGAAAGAGACCGCGCCAGAGGCATTCACACCAGCTCACCGAGTTTTATTCTGTCCTGTGGCTCAGAGTTGAAGTTCCCCAAGTGAAATAAATTGTCCACAAAGGAGGAAAGGAACACATTTTCTTTTATTTTTCCTCCCCTAAAAAGCAAGGGTAAAACCAATCTAATGTGCCCAGTGGAGCAAGATGGGCCGTGAAAGGCTGGGTGTTAAAAGTAAAAGCGGACTGTGCAGCAAATGGGATGGAAAATTAAATGAAATTAAATAGCTTGAACGACCGTATTGTCCCTTATTAAAAAGACACATTAATTACATGGTCTCAGCCTTATTCAAAGACAATGTTGAGACTCAATCAAAACATTCCACTTGGCTTTTTTATGGATTTAAAATGGGCGTCCGGAGGCCCTGTTAAAGCGAAATCCCCTCTGCACCGAGGTGCGGGGCGAGGCGGTTCTGGGGGCGGCCCTGCAGGGGGCCCGGCGCGCAACGGCGCGGGTAGCAGGTAGGGGGGAAGGGGGCTGAGCTGCTCGGGGGGTGCCGCCCGCCGGAGGGCCGGCAGCAGGGCGCTAGTCCCGCCGTGGCGCCGCCTTCCCAGCGGCTGCCTAGGGGGCGGCCCCCCGGCTGCGCCCGGGCTGGGGCGGCGGCGCCCACCGCCTAGAGGGGAAGCGCCCCCACCGGGCTCCGGGCGGGGATGCGCGGCTCCTTCCGCGACGCGCGGCGCCCGAGCGGCCGGGATCCGCGGCTCACAGCCCTTGGCGCCCTGGGGCCCTCGGCCTTGAGGCCCCGGAAGATGGGGAGCCGCCAGCACCCGCCTCCAGCCTGGCGGGCGCGGGGAGCCACGGACCCGCGGAGGGAGGCAGCCGCGGGCGCAGGGGCTGCGGGCGCGGACGCGCGGAGGCGGAGACCGGGGCGCGCCGCGGCGCCGGGGCCCGGGGTGGCCGGCCGCGCGCCCCGAGGGCGTCCGCCTTCCGGCCGAAGGGTCAGCGCGGACCAGCTGCGCGGCCCCCGAGGCGCGGGTGGGACATTAAGGCCGGGTTTGAATAGGGCGGCGGCGACCGGCTCTGGGAACGCCACCAGATGACACGCCGGCGAAGGGGCCGTTTTTCCCCTTAATTGCGAGGCCGGTGGGTGCGGTGCGGCCCAGAAGCTCCAAAGGCACAGCCAGGACGCAGCCGGGACGCCGCTGGTGGGTTTTGTGGTGCCTTTTTTGTTTTTCTAAGTCCTTCATTGGAAGCGGCTCAATAAAAGTATTCAGAGCCCCTCTCAAGTTGCCTTTTAACCGGGAGTTCCCCAACTTATTTCTTGGTTCTTTCGGTTGACATGGTGCAAAGAAAAGTCAGCGAGCGTGTTGCTGAATTGCAATGTCTCGGGGCACCTCCACATTCAACGCTCCTCTGCCGGCCGCTGCCGAATGAGCCCGCACTCAATTCGATTTTCCTTGCTGTTGGGCACATTTAGGAGCGCCTCTGTTTGTGAAGTTCATTTCTAGGCAAATGTATTCAAGAGCTGATGGGAATGAATAGGACCGTGTGTCAGCCGCCCCTAATTGGGATTAAAGCACTTAGGAGCATATGCAGGGAGTGACAGAAATTCTCAGGTTGCATTGTGTTCAGACTTCCACCCGCTTGGACGCTCCTCCTCCGAGGGAGATTTATAACGCTTGCAGGGAGAAACTGAGGAAAGAAAAGCGAACGGAACAGAACAGGGCTAATGGCTCACGATGGGGCTGCGGATCAGCAAGTGGTGGTGACAGCTTCTGAGAAAAGATGCTGGCAGATAACTGAACGCGGGCGGGGGAACGGGTCTGAACTCTTTAATCAGAAAGGCGGAGAGTTAAAAGGCGAAATAAAGATGTTCTTGAGATTCCCAGACGGCTTTTTTCTTTTCTGGTGTTTTTTTTTTTTCCCCCCCCCTTGAAGAGCTTGACTTTCTTTTTCTTTATCTCTGCCTCCCATCTCCACCCCCCAAAGAGCATACCCTCTCTTGGGTCAATAGTAAGAGCAATTTGGTATTTGAAGTAAGGAGGGAAAGTTTTTTTCTAAGTATCTTCTTTTGTATGCTAAAGAGATCGCCACGCCCAAATAAGTCAATGAAAATATTTCCTGATGTGTGACAGTGTGTGTAAACTGTACAAGCACTGTTCAAATACAAGCATAATGGCAAGTATTGTATGCATTCATCTCCACACTGAAGTGGCCTCTGGGTTTCCGAGCTAAAGGCAATAAGGATTTTTAAAAACCGAAAAGCAGCCTGGAGCTGAGGTTCGGACAGTTGTCTAAGCAGAAAGCAGTCCATTTTAGCCCCTGAGGAGCAGAGAAGCCAGAAATGGCCGATGAATATTGAACAAAAGAATAGCGAGGGAGAGAGCAGATCCAAATTATCTGGATTTCCTTGTTGGTTTCTTCATTTGTTTAAGTGCACCTGGAAACGTTGGTTTCCTGGAAGGGTGGGAGACTCTAGGTGTCTGAGCTCCC